TTTACTGTAGTCTGTAGCCTACAATTAATTACGCTCATAAAAGCTGACTGTGCCTATTGTACACGATACCGGTGTGAATCAATGTGGTTCAATCAGATAATACATATTTTATTGTTAGTTCATGTTCTGTTAATTGTTTTTTTAGGACAACGTAACAGGTAGCGAGACTATTGACCATGTTAACTGAATGCTTGTAGCCCTGCACATTAAAGATAGCTATTACGAGTAATATTCTACGAGGCATACTCGCATCATAGCATGTAGCCTGAGCCCTGACGCAGGTACAACTCACTGGTCAGCAGTACAAGACAAGACAATAATTTCAATCTTCAGATTCCTTCTGGGAGGGACACACGGCGTGTGCCACATTTATTATAATTATGAAACGCAAGCTTGCCTCGCTCGCTTGCTTGACTTTATGATTAACGTACGAGGAATCAATGATGAAAAATTTCGCATAACATAACATATCAGTCATGACATGACAATAATTAAGACAAATAATGAATTTTAAACGAATAGTTTCCGTCAAAACTCAAAGGTGATGGGAAAAAATTAAAGAATTCAAGATCTGCGTATCTGACTACCGTAAATTATGTATATATATTAAATTTAGTACAATGTCATTACAGTTTCATACTTCGCGGAGACAGGAGCAACATCTCACCGCTAATTACTGTAGCGGCTCGATCAAGTGGCACCACAGAGTCTGTGTACGGGAAATCAGCACTTGCAAAGCGTGCACTACTCGTGCTTGCAAAGCGCATGAGCATGCACACGCTGCGTGTGTGCGGTTTTCCCGTACACCAACTCTGTGGTGCCACTTGATCGAGCCGCTACAGTACTTTGCGGCTATCTTTCAGAATATGTTTATAAAAATTGCTGAAGCAAAAAACAGCGTTTTCTCGTTCGATCGTCGGCGTATCATTTCTCCATAATAGGTTCAGAGTTTCCATTAGTCCGCCATTCTGTTGTTGTAGTGTTATCCCTGTAATCCAGCGAAAAAAATTTTCAGTTCAGACATCTCATCGGGTGCATCTCAATGCTTCAGATGCCCCTGAAGCAAGGTCCATCTCCCACAGAAGTAGGCTACTTTGTTATAAAGTTCCCACCGAAGAATGCGGTGGTTGTCTGGCGTACAGGTCTAGGTGACCTCGAAATATAACTTCTCCTATTGTTTAAACATGTACTATATCAGATAATTTTAATGCGCCCAGGGATGTCTACTATATGTCCATAGGCGGGGAATGAAATAATGCCGAGAAGGATCGAAAGGCCGGCGAAACGAAGAAAACTAAAGTAGCGGCAGCAAAACAGTTAAAGTTGCTTTTGAAATTGTTGAAGCGAAACCTGCAGGACTTCTTCAGCGAAGGAAAGAGCTAGAGTTTCCGTTCGGTGCCTTATGAACGAAATTCTATCCAGAAATGCTGTCTCAGATGTTTCGCCGCTGTTCGGCAAGCACACAAAGGTCATCCTCCTCTTCGACAGTGCTGGCATTACTATAATAAAGGTTACTTTCCACAACGAGGTTGGTTGACCTACACCCCTGCGAAATCATCGCTGGATTACAGCATTAACGAGATGTTGTATCAAATTAGTGTTAATAAGGATGCTACGGTGGGTAGATCAGCACGGATTTTAAAGCAGATCTGCTCTAATTCGACCTCATGGCTCATTATTCTGTATTTCGAAACACACATTTTGCATAGAGAGCCTGAGTGCCGTAGATGTTGGACACATGCAGCAACCATGTAAAAATTATATGATTATTTATTTGTTGATGACTGATTTATGGTAAATTTTGCAAAAGCTGCCTCAGTTTGTACTAACACGTCGTGTATTCATGAAACATATTTTTTATTATTATCGGTGTCCTCATTTTCTTTCACACGTGCACTGTCAGTGCTACCTTCTCTCCGCATCTGCGTGACCTAATTAAAGTTTAGGTGTTATTGACTATTATTATGCATACAATAATATTAATTTGTCAGTTGAACACTATTAAGCTTCGAAATCGACGTCTGCGCTTATTATGAGGTATTCTCTAATATGCGTCGTGGCACAGTAGTACATAATAACAAATCGGATGAGAAATGAAAGATACAATGAAACTTGGATCGATAACACAGAGACAGACCAAACTAAAATCTTTCCAGCCCAAAACAAACGGACGGTGATATGACTGATGTCAACGTGCACGATTTTTTCTCGCCTTGCGGAAGCTGACAATCCACATGATAGGATCAAACAGCAGCTGAATCATGTACATCATGTGACAGTACTGAAACACCGTGAAAATGGTCAGCGACGGCTTCCCGATCAGAAACCACTGATAGAACAGGATAACATCCAACGGCAGCCAGCAGATAATCACACTAATGGTCGTCAACGTTAGAATCAGAAACGGCCGGACGACGCTGCGTTCGACAGTCCGCGGCGGCCTCCCGGCTCCGTGGATTCGCGACATATTTCCGGGGTCCATGTTCTCAAGTTTCTTGGCCAGTTCAACGCTTTCCGATGCGTCCGTGACCTTTCCTAGTTTTTTACTGAACCGTTTAATAACCAGATAAGCATAGACACCGGCGATTATAAAAAGCGGGGCAAAACGGTTCAGAATACTATCCACCCGGGTGAAATAAAAATATCCTTGTGGTACCGGTATGGAGCAAATCTGCGATGTTTCCAGTCGAACTTGATAAGCATTTGGCTTGAACATAAACAGGGATGGCAGTTTAAACAAATGCACATACAGCACAGTTAACACGCAGATCAAACATGCCATGTTTCTGGTATGATAGTTCCGGTAGCCGAGAGGATACGTCAACGCCCATAATCGGTTCAATGCAATCAGCATGTGACACATCACCGGCACGAGACTGACCACCCAGTGGAAATAAGAAAAGGTCAAGCAGGTTGTTAATCCCTGGAAAGAAAATTCAACGTTGTAGACTTCGCTCAAGAATATGAACGGGAACGCTCCGGCTAAGTACACGGTATTGGCGATGTAGAGAAATAGAAGGTACACGGTGAAATGGTTGATATATGCCGGGCGCATAATATGGACAATCAGGAGGCCGAAGTTTAGAATGAAGGACGTGACAGCGATGACGGTTTTTACGGCGAACTGTGGAGTAAGCGTGGCGCCGGTTGGCGTTGTGGAATTCCCGAATCCGCGCGCAGTCAAGTTTGCAATTGAACCGTTGATGATTTCCATAGTAAAAATATTCCGTGTTAGAGTGATCGAATTCGCCGATTCTTGCAAAATATTACTAAGTCTGTTCTGCAGTAGGTACTGCCGCTGCTGCACTGGTTATCAATACAAAAGGAGTTCAAGATTTTGTAAGTGTAGATGTGTAAGAGAAACTGGCGCAGTTATACGAAAATCGTGGAATAATTACTGCGTTAATTTCCGCCGCGGTTGAATGACGCTTTAATCACGTACGAAAGCGTGCTAGAGGAAAATGTCTACGACTGTGAAGAATTCCGGATGTACATACACGCTTCGGATTTTAACATTTACTACTTAATAGAAATTTCTCTTCCCGACAAGAAGTTGTGCTCGTGAATGGGAGCGGATGTAATTATCCGGTGGTTCCGCTATAAGCGGAACATAATACACTTCAAAGGCATTCAAGGACTCGTGCGGCAATTTACGCAAAATGCCAGCAGATGGAGTAAACACCACCTGGAATTGAAATGAGCGAAAAAACTTGAGTAGTGCCGTAACACCGCTGTGCGATGGTAATCTTATAGTCTCTCTTCACCGGGAATCCGGAAGCTGGTTTGGCTTACAATTTAAATTACCATCTCGGGGTGAATGGAACCGCTCGGCATGAGGTGTATTATTCCCCCCAAAATTATTTTTCTGCGGATGGTGTTAATAATGGTCGCAACGTTCTCGAAGGGGATTTTCATATGCATAACAACAATCGCTAGGAATGCACATTACGCACTGTAGGATGTACCGTAAATACCTAACTTTCAGTTTGATTGATTTGTTGATAAGGTGTCCAACGATATTTTACAGAACTGTTATAGTAATTTATCGATGCGAATAAGAATATTTATTTATTAGCACGAACTATAGCTTTTACTGATGCTGTTCCAGTGTAAAATATTTCTCTATACTCTGCTTGTTCTTGGTTCAGCAGCTTTAATGTGCTACATTGATACGCTGTACATTGTATTACTGGATAAGAAGAGCTCAATGCACTACATGGACGAAAATGCACATCGCATCCCGTTATTAGAAACCAGGCACCGCTATCCCCCAAACAAAAATTGAGCACATTATTGGATTGCAAATTTACAACATTTTGTTTATTGTTAAAATGCCATTTAGGTTTAAAATGCCATTTTTGGTTAAAATGTCACCCGGCACGCTAAATCCAAAAGCAATAAATAAAGCGTATTACGTGCCATGTTTACGGGTCAAAAGCATGTTTTACTAGATTGTGCTCCCATGAACAATTACACTTAATATCGCGATAGCGGCTTTGTATCGTACAAAAAACACACCGTGCATCAGGCGACAAAGAATGAGTGCTTTGATTTACCAACCACAGTTTGCTCTATTGTAACTGAAGAAATTCCGATTCAAATAGAATGCCGTGTGGATCGATTTATATGTTTAATTACTGTACTTATTCCCCAACTGGAGGCTGCATATTTCAAACTTTTCTATCACTGCAACAGTAGTTAATGCCCTCAAGGCGGTGTACTAGATTTGTTTCTAACTTGTATTGAGTCAGCAACGTATTTCTAGTTCACTACTCCTAAGCGGGCTCCAAATTTCACTTTGATCGTCCTTACAGTGCGAGCCTGGACAGTGCGAGACAAAGTGCGAGCCTGGATAGTATCTATTGTACAAGTACATAAAACATGGATTTCAGTATTCCCTACCGGCGTAGCACGTTTATAACAGCTGGTTTGCAATCCATAGCATGTCTCGTTTTCAGTGAATGGTGGCTCTTCTCAGAAAGTAAACCGGTAAACGTTTGCGGTGCCAACGTCGTAATCACTTTGGGAAATCAGCCGTAGTGCTACATGCCAATTTGTCATCAGTTGGAACTCGGAACTACAGTACTGTTTTAAAACCAGTTAATAAAGACTCTGGAGCAGTGGAAGTCACTTATTTAATTCTTTTAGTGGTGCGACAACCGGCAGAATCGCTGCTAGCCACAAAAGATTAAAGTATACAGACATTTGGTAAACGGATGATACAGTACCTAGACTCCATTAGGTTGTGTTCACGGGCAACATTTCCATCGAAGCTGATTTGAAAATGTTGCACCATTTTTTAACTTTATTGATCATCTACGAACTGCATGCCGCACGTGCACAGGATGAAGTGTACGCTCGTCCGTGGAAGATCCTCGGAAGCCGCGACCAGACGTTGCCGGTATTCAATGGTAATACCACCAATTTATTCATAATTTACTGGCTTTATTACTAGTAATCAAATATTGCAGGAACCAAAAGGTCTCCAAATGACGAATCACTGAGTGGCAATTCTTCTAACGGAACATATATAACAGAACTGTGTAGCTCTGATCGGCCGGTAATACCGACAGCAGATCAAGTTAGCCACCAACCAATTTTCATGCTAAAGGACGCCCGTTTTCGCGAATGGGCGACCATCATAAGGAAATTTGGGCTTCTGCATGTGATCGGCTATTACGGAATTCACCAGATGGCCATTTCCGGCGGTGATCTGGCACCAGAAAAAATCGAGCAGGCGTTAACTACCGCCTGGAAAGTGCCGATTGGTAGGTTTTAGGCATCAAGTTTTATTAAAATTTAACTATTTCGAGGATGTAGTAAAGCATTCTATCTTTTGATCACAGAAGCCGCTGAAGCTGCTCTCCGATCCCAAGAGTACTTTCTCCGTGGTGCCGAATTCAAGATACAAGCGTCAATATTAGAGTTGGACAAACACCGATGGTTCTCGCAAAACGGGTACTTATGCAGTTTATTGCTTGCCGTTTGGGTCTTTTGGCATAATTTTGGAATAGTAATAATTGATAATACTTGCAGAGATCATGTCGCTCGCGTTACATATACCATAGTTCTGATAAGCACGGAAGCAGACGTTCCCAGAACGCTGCAGCGAATTCCTCTGATTAGCGTCGATCACTTAGCGGAAGAACTACGACACGAGAATATTACACTACATGTCGGGCCTATCTTTCGCGCCTGGTTGGCGGATATGACCAATGCTTCCAGTGTCACGGATAAGCTTAAGGAACTGCAGTCGGTTTTACCCAACACGGCCAGCATGTGCTTTTATTCTATAATAAACGCTGGGGCTGCGCTGCGAGATGTCAGAACCGTGCAAATTATACCCGGACAACCGTTTAACGTAACATACTATTCCAGTGTTTCACGGCCGACGGAGGATGCGGTCCCGCACTCCGGCTTATCCGGAAAACGAATGTGAGCATTCCTTTTGCTTATCAATAAATTGTGGTTGTGCACACTACGAAATGACGAATACGGAATACACCCTGCCATTTTTGCAGATTCAGACGAACGATTCTGCCGTTTCTCATCAAGATCAACGGCAGTGTTCTTCCTACTTCGTATGACCCAAATCTGCGAACCCATGCCGCACTGCAGACTCTTAGTGAAGGAAGCTATGATCTGGAAAAGAGCGAAACTCCGATGCAGTATAAACTCAACAATCCCATCCATTTCCAGGACCTTCCCGGCATAGCGGACGGAATAGCCAAGGCCGTGCAATCGCGGTTAGAGGGTTCATCAAAATTTGTTCTGCGAAGTACGTATACTACTCTAAACACTTCGATGTTTCTCGCGTTCGGGACATTGTTTTTATACACCCAAAACACATTCGTGCAGTGATTTTGAACCAATATGTAAGCAATTTCTCCAAATCTCAATCGCTTATTCAGGTGTCACCACAAAGCGGTTGTATGTAAGTAATATCTAACGCAAAATCCTTTGTAGCACGCCATAGGGTATTGATGCGAATATTCTTAAAATTCTTATAATAGATATAATACTTAATTCAGTCGAATATTCTTAAAATTCTTCTATTCTTGCGAAGTAAAAATAATAGGAATTATGTAGTAATGACCGAAATCATGAATAGTGTTCCGAATGCGCGAAACACCGAAGTCGCGCTACCGAATAAGAGTATTACTCTTAGAGTAATGCGGACTGCTCCAAGCTATAAAAATTGGTTTAGTTATACCGTAAAAACATTGTTTCGTTCGCCACTCAGTTATCAGTGTTGCTTTTAGAGGAGCTGAACAACCCCGACCTACTGGGAGATAGATTGTTTCTCGGATGCACTACAGCCGGTCTGAGCGTGGACGGGATGACGGTGTCGGCACAGTTGTATGCCGGTAGAATGAAGCCCGGCGATGCTTTGTTCATATTGACGATGCCGGTTGATCCCACTTTACCGCTTTACAAACCGTTGTATAACGCCGTGTACGGAAAGGCGATCCAAAGCAGTCCTTACCCGGTTCGAGTAGTCGATCCAGATGAGGCAGAGGATGATGGCGGTTTGCCACCGATGATGGCACTGCCACCAATTTCGAACCATTATCCGCTCGCATTAATCATCGACGAAGTTGGCGAAGACCCTGAAATCTTGAGTTCTACGGTATGGTTTCACCTGCACGCTTACTAGTGGAATTTTGAGCTTCAGTGTGCGTCGCTTTCAGCTTTCGCCTTTCTGCAGGTTCTCGATAAAGTATTAGGATTAGTCGTGGCGGCTTTCAACGAGGCAAATCCACTGCAGTTAAACGATAACCGCTTGAATATCACTCTGACACGGTATGAAGGCGGAAAGACCATGAACCAAGATATGTAAGGCGCGCAATATCATATTCGGCCTGCCTAACCATGACCTTTTTGATAGTATTATGTTTTTGAGCAGGGAAAATGTTTTTACCTTTCAATTTGCCATCGTAAAGTCCGGAACGGAGAGCACATGGAATCTGTGGCAGCAACCGACCTTAAGCATTTTGCGGAGTATTATTATAAAGTTTAGGCATCCATGGCGTTTGGCATCCTTTAGCGGTGCCGATGATGGATACAGCCGTGCTCGTCTGAATACAATTTCCTAACAGCTGGCAATTTGTAAAACCGGCGAGATAGTACCGACGTTCTTAATTAAATTACCGGACTTGCAGTTGTGGTTGCATCCCGGCATTCACGGGAAAATGTTTTCCGCTGATATTTATTTTACTGTTTGCTCACTTCTGAAAGAGCATCTGCGTAGCCTCAAGAAAAGCAGTAAAATAGTTTGAGTTTGGAATTCCGAAGATTTGTGCAAAGCATTTAATTTCTGACGTCAAAAAACCATAGACTTCATATGGCCGACCTTGAAACTTCTCGAGATTAGAATGCTACAGACTACAGTGCTCGTATGGATAAATGTCCTGGATTTCACCGTGTCTGTGACTTTTGGTTCATATGGCCGCAAGAAAGTTTACGGTGCTTATCGCAACTCCGTTTCCGACTAGACAGCGCTAAATTTTTCGCGGTACTTTTCTTGTGGGCGGCGCCGGCGAGCCGGTTGTTGTTGTTCTATAGGGCCACGTCGGGTAAATAATCCGAGCGGACAAACAGACAAAGCGAGACGATCACGAAACAACAATTTACTTAACCGGTAATGAATGAAATCATAGTATTGTTTTTGGGCTTCACAATAGTATTAATTTTAAATTTCTTTTCCGCCATGCAGCATTGTACACTATGTATATCACACATCAAAATTTAACAAGAATACGTAAGACGTAAAGACCATAAGATGCGTCTTATTACAAAACTATTATCATATTTTAATTTTTCTTTTGTTTAACAGTTCAACATTCTCGGAGTTTGCTCGCTGTTCGACTCTCCACAGCCAGGATTCCGCGGCTGCATACGAGCCGGCAAACTGATGGTGAGAGATGACAGCTCATAGCGACTGCCACAGGCACGCTCTCAATAATTTTGTGCCGTCTGGCCCGTCTGAGCGTCTCACATTCCCTATCATGAAACATAAACGCATGCCTGTTATGGCACAGGCCTGCATACTTGTGCGCAGAAAATAATAAGTCAGTGTTATGGTTTAGCCTGAGACACTGAAGTATTCCACACTGTCGTCCAGGTCTTCTCTTTTGGCTAATTGGCTTGAGTCCTTTAGTATTAACCGGGCTTTGTATTTTCTGAGCTAGCAAATAGCTTACATGTTTTAAAATTCGATTGAACCATTTTTAACGGGACAGGTCGCTAAATTTCGTGACAGCTGAGTTTTACTGGTCCAGATTTACGGGAATTGCAGCTGTCTTCAACAAGTAAGTACTTGGTTATCATTCATCAAGCATTTTAGATGATTTTGATGAAGATTATGACCTACGTTATATCCACAGAAGTCCACCATGTACCTGTACGAAGATGGTACCCGGTCTGTGCAGGCATGGAATGCTGTGGATGTTGAAATCGATGGTCTGTTCCAGCATGGCCATATCGTTGGCCTGGAAGAGTCTGTCAGTATTCCACCACGCCTAATCATCGATTTCGGATGCTCGACACAGCAGTCGGTGCCGGTTGATAACGTGAAGGTATTTACCTTCTCCACCTTTCCCTCCTTCCAACCGCGTCAGGAAGCTGTGGAAGTGCTGTTGTTCGATCATCCTGGTCGTCCATGGAAATGGTATCCCGGCAAAGTCCTCATCAATTCTTTCGCGAACTTGCGGAACCATGCGCTGGTGGAAGTAACAGTAGGTGGGCAACATCTTCGCGAACTGCTTCCCAACGAACAGATCCGTCCGGTGTCTTCGGAGAAACGACTGCAACGCAAGCGCGTTCAGCCGGGGGATTTTGTAATGCGGACATGCAGAGTGCCAAACGGCTACTGGGTTCTGACAGAGTGCTTCGCCTCGAAGCTGCTCCGCCATATTCAGCGAAGGTTTCGTGTGCGATTCACCTACGTTTTCGGCCAGGAGATGCATTACATCCAACAGCACACTAAAAGCCCTTTAGAAGATGCCACAATCGTAAGTTATCGCCTGCATTCAGATTTTTAATGGGCAGTTGGGCACTACTTTCTGGACGAGTCGGAGGGTTTCTGAAGGCGTTAGGGGGCAGGTATCTCGTACCAAAGAGGGGTGTATTATTATACTGCTTCGAATTTTCGGAGACCTCCGCCGAAAAAAGTTTTCGGAATGTGCCCCTCCCCCTCTTGTGAATTTCGTTTTGGAGAAAATAGTCTGGAAATATTTTATCTCTCCCCAGTTTTTTCGCGGCCCGTTGAAAACAGCGTTCTTCTGGCCTCCCGTACTGCTGGGGAGTATAGCTAACACGTGTTTCCGGTAAGCTGCCGATCTAGAGCCCAGTGTACCCCAACGAAGGTTGGGCGCATTAACGGTTTTCGCCCGAATGTATAGAAATAATTTGGCCGCATACTATCTTAAAACTGTGCCGAAGAGCGTGTGGTCGCGCGCGAGTTCCCGTTTGCGTACTGATGGGTCGATATATTGCACTGGAACATTGTCCCTAAAGCCTGTCTGCCATGCTCTTTTCTCGTCGTATCATTTAGATGCACAAAGCGCATTCAACCGAAAAACCGGGGTAGCTGAGATGCAGAATACAAATTCACGTTTGTAACTGTCCCGTGACCGACCAAGTCGTCGCATAAAATCTCGTCGCGGGACACTTCGTCGGCCACATTTGGTCGCGAAGACATTTAGTTTCTGGAAAAGTCGTTGCTTGTCAATTTGGTCGGGAGACATTTGGTCGCGAGACATCCGGTAACACGGACACATCGGGGCCAGACATTTCGTCGGCGGGACAATTGGATACCCAATTATTTTAAAAGAAAAACTTTATTTCAGTTAAAAACTCCGTCGTTTGACTTCGAATTAATTTTACTGAGACCGGCATGTAAGATTACACATTTCCATATATTTTTAAATTTTTGAAACCGTAGTCTTACATTTTAAATGAATTATACACAAATTTAAGTTGCTGATTTGTACATAGTGCCTTTCTTGGAAAACACTGACGACCTAATAATTATGATACACTATAGTGACTATACTAATGATAACTAATCTATTTGCTACTCATTACGTGGTATTAAATAACAAATATTACACTAATAAGTCAACCTAGTTTTTGCACTTTCACTGGCAAAAATAAAGCAGAGATAATAACCAAGCGAGAACCATTTTGGTTATTTATCCCAGTTGTCTATCTCCGGCTTCTAACAGACTCTCTATTTGGAGCTCATTCACAGAGAAATCACAGCACGGACACTCACCCTCACTTTCCTTTACCCGAACAATGATATAGTTCCAGTTCCCATCACACACTTTGATTGTGTGATATAGGGGCTGGACCGAACTAGTCTCCGATTCCACACATTGACACATACAGTCTGTATAAGATACAAAAGCATTAGGATCAAGTCGTTTACTGCTGAACAGCAATAAAATTTAACAATGGTTTTCTCTTTCTGACTTGCAGTTGCTCTTTCTCTCTTACGATTGTAAAAGCCAGGCAAGTCTGGTTTAATGTCTTTAAAAGTCGACGCTAAATCGCGCCAAGATCACACTTCAAAAAACTTACGACAACGGTGCTTCCAAGATAATTACACTATTTTGCTAGTTTTTTTAACTAAGGCGGTATGTCAAGTATGTTAAGTATGTCAAGGCGGCTGACCGCCTTGCGAACGTCGTTTTCGACTGCCTAACACCAGTTGTCCCTCGACCAAACGTCCTTTAGACGAAGTGTCCCGCGACGACTTGTCACGTAGCCAACTGTCCACCATTTGCGCGGCTAAAGCCGAAAACTTTGCGTTGGGTCAGAGACTTAAGTCGCTCTTAGTACTGTACTTGTCATGGGCCCACGGATAAGCCAACTCTGGCTTCTGAAGTTTCTTTTTCTTCACCACAGGCGAAAGTTTTCGAAAGAAAAAAACTGGAATTCATCCGTAATGGCAAATTCCTGGTGGAGGACTCTCGCCGCCTGGAAGGACCCGACCAGGAAAAACGGTCCGATACGAAATGGCGCGGTTGGGCACTGCCAACCGAACTCTTTGAAGAGGTGTTTCAGTCGCTGGACACCATCGACCGACAACGCTGCCGACGCAGCTGTCAACTGTGGGATGCCATTCTCACTTCGACGGAGATGTGCAAAGTTGTTCGCGTATCGCTCAAGCATCCACCTTTCTCCCAGCGGCTCGCCAAAAATGGAATGATTGTTATGCCGCGTACGGTTGCTTCTTCAAGCACATAACTTCTGCAGCACGAACCATCTGCATTCGAGACACGGAATGGGACTGCGACGATCAGGACGATTTGAAACTCGCCGATGGAGCGACAACGTTGATGCAAAAACTCTTGCACGAAGCCGGCATTCGCATCGAGCGTTTGATCGTGCACCACCGATCACTGACCATCGACCAGGGTGAACCCGGTCCATTGAAGTTGCAGGTGGTTTTTGCCGCGATAGCTGCGCTACATTCCAAGCTGGCGAGCTGCTGTGACCGCTTGATATGGAGAAGATATTCCTTGAACTGCGAAAACAGCACCGGTGCGATAGTGCTGGAATTCCGTGTTCCGATAACGATGTTCAACCTGGGGGGTGTGGGAGCACCACAGATTTGGGATACATTTGAGCAGCACCTGCGCTGCACGGGACCGGCGTTAGATATGGACCGCATCGCCCAGTGGATGGCGAGATGCACCCACAGGAATGCGAGAACTAAGAGATTTGAAAAGGTATTGTTTTTCATGGTATTATATGCTGTACGTGGGAATCGTCAAAAGTTTTCTCTACGTTAAGTCGCCTCAGATGAGCTGCGCATTTTGGTATCTCGTATATTTTTGCAGAAACTGGCTTTAAATTAAATGTTTTAGAGGAGTAGCGTTAATGATTAGGGTATCATTTTTGTGTGAAATTAACTTCAACTATCGCGCTTATGCAGTCCTAAACACTTTTTTGCGTTATTTTACATCATTTTATAGTCCAAACGGTTTCTCGTTGCCCTGAAATCGCTTGATCGTGAACCATACGGGAGATATGAAGCCACTACGTCAGCTCGCAATTGCATACAATAATTTCAGATTTGGTCAATATTGGTCATTATTTGTGCAAATTCGGATGAATTCAATATTACACAAATGTTTGGAAGGATATTTTCCCACTATTGAGCCTACTTCTATGCCGTAAAACGGCGGCGGTCTGTTTGATAGCTTTGTGTCTTGTCTTCCTAATGTCATTGATTTTTGACATGCAGATTCTGAACGATTTTCAATCGTGCGACCCGCGCCCCTCTGCAAATTTTCGGGGAGATCCTTGGACAGTGGGCGCTATGACCAACCTGGACGTCCACAAGCTGAACACGTTGTGTCTACATGTCTTGTGGCACTTCGTGCAGAAATGGAATCGAACGTCTTCGGATGACGCTACGGACTCCAGTGGCAGTTCTGAATCCGATCCCGAAGACAGCTCCGATTCCGAAGAGAGCTCCGAGTCGGATTCGCACGGCAGCGACGATACCGAATCTACTAATGATGGCTCTGATTCCAATGGAAGCTCCGAGTCTGATAGCAGTTCTGAAGCCGAGTCTAATGACACCACCGACTCCGATTTCTAGGACAGCCTCGGTTCCACAGCGGATCAAACATAGTCCAACTTCGATATGTATGTAGTCGGAGAACTGTCGACCATCTTCTTTAACTAAAAAAAACGATGTCATAGCGCTTGATTTAGTATGTTTGTAAGCAGAGTACGAAGATACAATGGACGAACAGAAATAGTTAAGGTCCAATTAAAACGCGTTTCGATGTCCTTAATATGTTGTTCACTTTTGTGTTTCATGTACATTGTACACTAGTACATTTACGTGTTCTCACGACGCTGGACGTCTCCAGACGTCAGCCATCCTCACGATTCTGTTCATTTCTGTTCTACCAAAATAATAAGAATTACGCAAAAAAGTTCCCTGTTAATGCCAAATCCAACAAACTTGCTACACGGTGTTCTGTTTGCTTAGGGGCAAAAATGGGGGATTTAGGTGCAGACTCAACGGGAACAGAAAGCCAACAAGCACGCACACATCGAGTGAGCAACCGGAGTGCCTTCGTAGAATGAAACCGGAAAACGTTCCGTTCCGAATGCGGAGTCATGATAATACTACGCAGAGTTAAAAAAAACACCGAAACACCCGGTTTTCTATGCATCTCTTATGCGAAGCCGATCGGCCATCGGTCACAGGAGAATTTTATCCCGACAAATTGAAATACGACTTTTTATGCAAAATGCTGCAGTGATTTCCTCTAACAGGAGTGGATCAGTTGGCGAAAGAATTACCGCACGAAAAATCACACTACATGTCCGGCCTGTCTTTCGTGCCTGGTAGGGAGATATGACCAATGCTTCCAAAGTCACGGAGAAACCGGAGGAACTGCCTTCAGTTTTACCGATCGAAAACCATGTGTTATCGTTCTATAATAAACGCCGGGTCTGTGCTGCGGGATGCCACAACCGTGTAGGTTATACCCGGAAAGACGTTTAACGTACCATACTATTCCAAGGTGTCGCGGGCGACTAAGGATGCAGTGCCGCATTTCGGCTACTTATCTGGAAAACGAAAACGAGCTATCGTAGGTTGTTGGATGTACCGATACGCACTACGCAGTACGAATACTCCGCCATTATACTCGCTGCCATTTTATAGCAGATCGACACGACAGATTCTGCCGCTTTTTATCAAGATTAACAGCAGTGATCTTGCTGCTTCCTACAAATCGAGTCTCCGATATCACATGCTGGTGCAGCGTCTCAGTGAAGGAAGCTATGATTAGGAAACGAGCGCAACTGCGCTTTCGACTACACTGGACTGTCTGGACATAATTGTTCGCGTATTGTGGGCGGCGCCGGCGAGCCGGTTACTGTTGTGCTATACAGTGGACTGCGAAAACCTGTTATATTCGGTCACACAAGAAGTTGAACACTTGCACGTTGCGCATTTCCCAACGAAAACTATCAACCGATATCTCAAACGAAGAGCAAAAAATTTCAAGAATTTTGGTACCAAACAGGTGATCCTTTATGAGACGTAAAAGAAAATTTTTTAAAGAGCCATTTTAGTTTGTCGTAGACAAAGCATACGATTTCTGTGTGAAAACTGAATCCAAACAGGACCAAACCGTGGATTCAAATCCTATGCTATGTCTACGAGAAACTTTAGGTGCGTCGATTCTCCTTAGATCCCATAAAAACAAATTGCTTGGTATTAAAATTCTTGAAATTTGTTTCTCTTTCGTTTGAGATATCGGTCGATGGCTTTCGTTGGGAAATGCGCAAGGTGCAAGTGTTAATACCAGCAGGCAGATGGCCAATCATGAATTTGGCTGTTTCAGTACAGAAAAGTGCCTCGTTGCGCGCGTTGTAACACCTTTTCGCAGTCTACTGTTGGACCACGTTGGCAGACGTTGCATGAATAATCGATAGTGGACAATCGACAAAGCGGGACGATTACAAAACACTAAATTTGACCGGCACAAAAGGATCTCATATTTGTTTTTGGACTTTACAGTAGTATTAATTTCTGATCCACTATGCAACATTGTTCACTAGAAGTATGTATTTCACACTTTTCTTTAACACAAATACGTAAGGTGGGTTTTAGTCTTATCGTATATTTTTTGCTTGTTTAGCACTTCAATATGCGCTACTCGACCGGCTACAGACACGATTCGACGGCTGCATACGAGCCGGTAAATTCCAGCCGCTCTCGTTCAATATTAAAATTGTGATGCAAAATATCAGCGTATGCCTGCTATTGCAGAGCACACTAGTGCGGAGAAAATAATAGCACTATCGATTTTTCTGAAGTATTCCGCACAGTCGCACAGGTCTTCTCTTTTGGCATAAGTCACTATTTACCTGGCTCAGTATTTTCAGTTGGACGCTTTTTGGAGCTACCAAATAGCTCATGCGGAGCAAATAGCAAATAAATTTTCAGTTGGAGTCAATTATTCTGTAACGGGTCAGCTGGTTAAACTTCTTAACAACAACTACAATTACTTCTTAACAAGTTTTCCTTTTACGGATTATGCTTCATTAAGTATTACAGTTGTTGATTCAGCGTATGTACTTGATTGTCAAGCAGTTCGATGATTCTGCTAAAGATTGTGGCCTGCTTCGTAGCCAAAGAAGTCCACTATGTATCTCTACGAAGACGGTACGCGGTCTGTACAGGCATGGAATGCGGTGGATGTTGAAATCGACGGTCTGTTCCAGCATGGCCATATCGTTGGCCTGGAAGAGTCTGCTAATATTTCGCCACGCCTGATCATCGATTTCGGATGCCCGTCACAGCGGTCGGTGCTGGTTGACTATGCGAAGGTATTTACCTTCTCCACCTCTTCATCCTTCCAACCGCATCAGGAAGCTGTGGAGGTGCTGCTGTTCGATCACCCGGGTCGTCCATGGACCTGGTATCCCGGCAACATCCTCATCCATTCTTTCGCCAACTTATACGACCAAGCACTGGTGGAGATACTGCTATGCGGGCAACTTCTTCGCGAACTGCTTCCCGACGAACAGATTCGCCGGTGGCCCTCGGACAAAATAATGCAGCGTAAGCGCCTTCAAGCAGGGGATTTCGTGAAGCGGACGTGCAGAGTGCCAAACTAGATTCTGAAGGAGCGCTTCACGTCGGAGCTGCTCCGCCGAGTTGAGCGGAAGTTTCGTGTGCGATTTACCGGCGTACTCGGCCGAGAGATGCACTATATACAGCAGCACGCCAAAAGTCCTTTGGACGATGCCACGATCGTAAGTTTTTGTCACGACACTCAGTTTTGAATGGGAATTGCCTTATGGGGTGGCTGGTTTTCTGACAGGGAAGAGGGGGCAGAAATTTCGTGTCTAAAGAGAAGTAGTATTGCGGAAAACTTTTTGCGACCTGCACCGAAAACAAATTTGCAATGAATCTTGTAAAGCGTCACAAATGCGAAGTGCCGTAAGAGTGACCCGTTGTTAACAAATGCCGAAGTACGAAAAAAGGTGCGTGAATGCGAGGAAGCGAAAGTTCCCGTTCGTCACTGACGTACAATTCGGTACTTTGTATCGGGACATCTTCCTTAAGTCCCGTCTGCCGTGCTTCCTTTTCTTGTCCGATTATTTAGATGCTCAGGCACAATATGATCCAAAAAATGAGAAAATGGATTTGACATGTGTAAACACCCAATTTTTTATGGTCAAAGCCGGTGGTTTGGAATAGGCAAAAACAATTGAGCGTTATTTGTGATTGGGAGCGGATAAAATAACTCAGGTTTCCTATGTTTACGTTTCTCACCACAGGCGAACGTTTTGGAAAGGAAAAGGCGAGAATTCGTACGCAGTGGCAAATGCTTGTCGGCTGATTCTCGTTGCCTTGGAGGGCCGGACAGGAAAATGCAGTTCGGTACTGACTGGCGCGGTTGGGCATTGCCCACGGAACTCTTCAAAGAGGTATTCCAGTCACTGGACACCATCGATCAACAGCGCTGTCGACGCAGCTGTCAACTGTGGGACGCCATTCAAATTTCGGCGGAGGTGTGCAAAGTTGTACGTGTATCGCACAAGCGTCCACCTTCCTCACCGCGGCTCGCGAAGAAATGGAACGGTTGTTATGCCGCATACGGTTGCATTTTTAAGCACATTTCACCAGCAACGCGAACCATCTGCCTTCAAGATGCTAAAAAAGACTGCGACGATCAGAATTTGAGAGACGCCGATGAAGCGATGGCGTGCATTCAGAAAGTTTTGAACGAAGCCGGCTTTCGCATCGAGCGTTTGATCACCACCACCGATCACTGACCATCGACCAGGGTGAACCCAGTCCACTGAAGTTGAGCATGGTTTTTGCCGCCATAGCTGCGTTACATTCCAAGCTAGCGACCTTCTGTGACCGCTTGATTTGGAAAAAATATTCCCTGAAATGCGAAAACAGCAGCGGTGCGAAAGTGCTGGAATTCCGCGTTCCGGTTTCAGTGTTCGTTCTAGAAAATGTGGGAGAAGCACAGATTTGGGATATATTTGAGCAACACCTGCGCTGCGGGGACCCGGCGTTAGATATGGACCGCATCGCCCAGTGGACAGCCAGGTGCACCGACAGGAGTGCGAAACCAGGAGAATCCAAAAGGTACTGTATTTACAAGGTTTTATGTGCTGCACATGGCAATTCGCCAAAAGTTTTTCTTATGTTTAATCTTCATATCTGAGCTTCGCATTTTGGTATCTCATAGATTTTTTGCAAAACTGGTTTTAAAATAAAATATATTTCAAGAGAAGTAGCTGTGGCCTCATAGGGTATCATTTTCGCGCGAGTCCACTTCAACTGTCGCGTTCGTGAACCCCAACCCTTTTTTGTTTTTAATTACTACGTCCTTTTATCGTTATTGGTACTTTATATTGGTATATTTTGTTTTAATAGTATTTATTATTATTTTCAGTTTTTATTAGTACGTCATTTTAGAGCCTAAACAATATTTACATGGTCCTGAAATTGCTTGAACGTGAACGATACGGGAGATATGAAGCACACAACAACAATTTGCTCCCGATGACATATTTTCAAATTCGGTCCAAAATGGTCTATATTTGTACAAATTTTGATGAATTTATCACTACATGCACCAAAGCTCGGAAGACGGAAGGCAGTGAGGCACTAATAAAATGATGTTTTTCCACTGTTGATCCGACTTCTATATCGTAAAACGGCTGCGGTCTGTTCGGACAGCTTTGTGTCTTCTCTTCCTAATGTTATTGACTTTTTGACATCAGATTCTGAACGATCTTCAATCGTGCGATCCGCGTCCCTCTGCAAATTTACGGGAAGATCCGTGGACAGTGGGCGCTGTTGCCAGCGTGGACGTCCGCAAGCTGAACACGTTGTGCTTACATGTCTTGTTGCACTATGTGCAGAAATGGGATCGAGCACCTTTATATGACGCTACGGACTCCAGCGAGGGTCCCGATTCCGAAGACAGCTCCGGTTCCGAATCTAACCATGGCTCCGAATCTAACGGCAGTTCCGCTTCCGAAGACAACGGGCAGTCCGATTCCGACGGCAGCTTCCTCTCTAACTCTGATTCTACCGAAAGCCCCGATTCCGAAGACAGCCAGATTAATTCCAACGAAAGCTCCCGCTTCGAGTCTGATGACAGCACCGACTCCGATTTCTAGGATAGCTTGGATTTCAAAGTGGATCAGTAGACAACCGAACGATGTGAACTGTCGACACACGTACTCGAGTAACTGCATCAACTTATTATTCTTGCACTGTCTTGTTGCCATACCGCTTGAGCTTATGAAGTAAGCTTACTATATAAGTACAGCTAGTGTGCAGTGGGCAAACAGAAATAGTTAATGACTTAATGTCAACTTAAACCGGGTTTTCGCTGTTATTAATCTGTTGCTCATTTCACTGTTTCATATATGTACCCTACGTGGTCCCATGACCTTTGACGTTTTAGAGTTCAGTAGTGGCGAGTTTTGTAGCACGTTTGTTTTATTTTTTTAAAGACAGCGCGCGCTCGTCTGAGTCAATCTGTCAATATTGACATATTGACGAAGATTAAATGGGAGCTCGCCTATCACCTCGACTCTATTCCCTTTTGCGCCGGTCGATATGTCAATATTGACGTATTGACAGAAAATAACAGCAGTTGTTTCCATAAACGAGGGATGGTTTACCATGTAACGATTAACGACGGTCAGTTTGTTATTATTGACGAATGGACTACTTATAGACTGACGTCAGCATGCCTTGATGGACAATTTGACCGAGTAACACGAGAAAATTCAAGCAAATCAACAAATTGAAATACCGACTTGAGAAATAGTAAACATGCATTACCCGATTACCGAACGAACTACAATTAGCACATTAAAGCGAGGAAAACGTTAACACACAAGATGTTAAAGCCCTTCCAAAAGTAACTAAAGTTTCAAGCCGGCTTCGATTAAACTGTAGCGTTAACTTCGTCGACACAAGATCCGTCATCCCAGGCATAACTTCCGGTGGTCAAGGACTGATTTCGTCGATAAATCAGTCTGTTGACGTAGAACAACTGACGATTTCTTGGAATGTGATTTAGAACAGCCTCGAACCGACGAAACCAAGAAAGCCCTTGCTCGGCGGCCCTGGTGTTACATTTTTGCAAAGTTGGAAGTTTCTCTTTGATTCGCCGTGGGTGAGAGAGATGGCACGAGTTAGGGCTTCTCAACTTATCCGTACCGACACTGTATCCTCTGTACCAACACTGTATCCTATTCGTACCCACTGTACCGACACTGTACCCAATCTCTATCCACTGTATCTGCCTTGTTCCCGGTGTACCGACACTGTACAATCTGTGTCTGCACTGTATCCGCTGTACCGACACTGTATCCACTGTATCCTAAGTGTAACCACTATACCGACACTGTACAAGCTTGTCCGGTAATTTCTGACGAATCAATACAGCGATCTACACAAATTTGCGTGTTACGCCAAACTTCACACTACGGCGCGCCACGCCACACTGTTTAAACACGTAACTTGCATTTGACTGGCTGGTGGCTTGGTACACGCCATACAATTGTATGAGGATAATAGTAACTGCCTGGCGGAAGGTGGCTAGAAAATGGTCGGTGCAGTAAGCGACAATCTGCCTACGGAGCGCATTTAGGAAATTTGATAAACGTAGTGCAGTGGCCTCGTTATAAGCGCAAATTTCGCGCTAGCTGTACCTTTACGTAGGAAATTACCGGACAAGCTTGTACCCAATCTGTATCCACTGTGTACGCCTCTAACCCGTGTAACGACATTGTGTCCTATTCGTACCTACTGTACCGACGCTGTATCCTAAACCATCCACTGTACCGTCCTCGTACCCTTCTTGTTCCACCATTATTCTGCTTTATAGCCAGTGCCAGTGTCACTGCACGGACGCTGGCTGTTAATGTACTGCTTGTATCCCTTGTGTCTTAAAATAATCAAGTTGTCGTCTTCGAGTCGCTAAAGGTGCATTCGTATCCAAAAATAAAACGGCATCCTCTGCACGTTTTCTGTATCACAACGACATTTCGTGAGGTGCCATCTGATTCAAACACCGTGGCCTTTGTGGGCGGTTTATGAGTTGGCAACAAAAGTCGAGGAGCCTCGGGAACCGTTTCGATATTTGCACTTCAAAGGGCAATATTTCATGGCAGGCGGAGGAGACCAAGGATTCACGCTCGTCATACTCAGTGTCGCACAAGGGAAAATATTCCTCGAGATGACGTTCTGTGTCTGTAGCCGGCTGATCGGAGGAAAGCATATCAATAGCCTGGAAAAGAATGAAAATGTTTTGGCGAACTAAAACTGAATAATCTGCTTCAGTAAATTATTTCCATTACTTATTAGTTTTTTACCTGGATCAGTTCAGTGCGACAGGAAGGTCGCTCTACAAACGGGAATTTCTTGTAACAGTCGCGGACAAATAAAAGCATCAATGCCAAATTTCGTTTCAAAGGTCAATCGATTGTCTTCCATGTTTTTTTTTCCGGAAATTAGTTAAACGAAGAATTTTTTAATAAATAGCTGTTTTGGCGCGTTTGTAAGACAGCCAAATCAAAGTGATAAGCCAAAAGACAAACTGCACACCTCACGTAGCGAATACACTTTATACCCGGCATTTTGCTAACATGGCATCAAAACGTGACCGCTAGCAAATTGCGTGGGTAATTCCTTGTGTTATTTCTGAATCCGTCTTGTGGTAAGAATTGTGAACAAACATCGATCGCAATGATAAATTATAGCACTGATTAAGTTTAAAACAGCATTCTAATAATTTGCCATTACACGTTTTGTCATCATGTTCTTAAGCACAAACGCGCCTCATAATAACGCAACGATGCAAATAAAACAGTGGTAAGCGGCGTCTTGGCTAAGTCGATTTATTTTGGTCTTGAAGCTAACAACTAAAAAGGAATAAGCAAAACCAACTGACGGATTCCAGTGCGGCAAACAATTGCTTCATCCAGTAGTGCTGGAACCGCTCTTCTTTGTCTGCTGTGAAATGTGAATATGCAAAACTGATATTGTGTTAGTCACGATAAAAACCCAAACCTTACCGGTGATCATTCGTCGGAATCAACATCCACTAAATCGAACGAACGCTCAACAGAACCTAAAAATAAAATATAAAATTAAGTAACAAATATCGCACTAGTTTCCATATAATTTTTGTACCTTTCTTTCGTTAATCAGTCTGGCTTTTCCACAAACTTGGCTCGATGCTTCGAATCCACTCCTCTGGACAACTGAAGGGCTGCTGGAATTTTGCTTTACCAAGCGCATCATACCACGTTTCGAATGCCGCTGCATTAGTGAGCAGCCAACGCTTTTCAGCCAAGGTTTGAAGTTTTTTTGCATGAAAAAAGGAAACGCCTTAGCTTTCTACCTGCAACACTGTAATAATGCCAGTCATGCCACTTACTTTACTGAAATTTGTCGAATAACTGCAGTTTTTCAATTAAAAATGGACATAGTGATTCAGAATTTTGTTTTCCGGAAACCATCTTGTCTCATAACTTTTTTAAAAAATAATTTTAATAAAATGTCACACTTTTGTACGATATTGTTTAAATTTCCCTTTTTCTGTTATAAGTATTGATCATTCGGATGAAACTGACATGATACCAAGTGAGCCTGGGACTGACCCGGCGTGCTTTAATAACCAAACCGAAACTTTGTTCAACCAGGCGGTAAGTAATTAATAAGAATACGCAAGATGTGTTTTATCATTAATTTTAGTTTCTACCGGCACAACACGCTCGCTGCTGTGTACCAGTGTACTCACACTCACAGCAGACACGACTCAACCACAGCGACGTAGTAGTATTATTGCGTACGACTGTTATGCTGAGAGGTGACTCATCGGAAGTCGATCTCGAAAGCGCATGCATGTTGCGGGCCTTGCGGCATACTGCCATAGTGCCATAGCGTGGCATAGGCATAGCAGTAGATACGTACTATAGTAGATAGCACACTTGTGCGCAGAAAGAATTCTGAAAACGTATTTCGTCCACGTCCTCTCTGTTTACTATATTGCCAACTGCCACTAATTTCTCGAGTAAATAGTAGTGAAAATGATTCTGTTAATCTATTCAACCTCTTTAACGGGACATTTCGTTAAATTTCTTTACAACTGAGTTTTACAGGTAAAGTACTAGTGCCAGACACTGCAAATGTCTTAATCTAGACTAACTGTTACGTATAACGTATGTGCTTGCAAGTTGCAGTTTAACACTTTTGCAGTTTTGCTGAAACCTTTATCCTGCGTTGCAGCCAGAGAAAGTCTCTCATGTATATCTACGAAGACGGTACGCGGTCTGTGTATGCATGGGATGCTGTGGATGTTGAAGTCGACGGTCTGTTGCAGCATGGCCATATCGTTGGCCTGGAAGAATCCGCAAGCATTCCCCCGCGTTTGATCATCGACTTTGGATGCCCCGCACAGCAGTCAGTGGCAGTTGACTACGGGAAGGTAATTAGTTGCTCCACACCTCCCCCCTGGGGACGGCGCCGAGGAGCTACTGTGGAGGTGCTATTATTCGATCATCCGGGTGGCACATGGAAATGGTATCTCGGCAGAATTCTCGTCAATCCTTTCGAGAACTTATGGGACCATACGCTGGTGGAGGTATTAATGAATGGACAGCGGTTTCGCGAATTGCTTCCCGATAAACAGATTCGTCGGACGCTTTCGGAAAAACGACTGCCGCATAAGCGTTTTCTGCCGGGTGATTTCGTCATGGGGACATGTAGTGTGCCGGACGGATACTGGATTCTGCAACACTGCTTAGCCGTGGAATTACTCCGCCAAATTGAGCGAAAGTTTCGTGTGCGATTTACGTACGTTCGCAGCCAGAAGATGCACTACATGCAGCCTGGGTGCCGGAAATCCTTTAGGGGATGCTACGATTGTAAGTCGTTGTCGTAACTTGAGTTTTCACTTTAGGCGGATTTTTAGGGGGGGGGTGAGCGAAAAAACATCAATGTGCGAGTATTGCATCTGCGGCCGTGGAAGGTTTTCAGTGGCACTCTTGCACATTTTCGCGTTATCTCCCTGGCCTCTCCAGCCCCCTTCTTCCAATGTCATCAAGGTGGTTCCGTCGTAAATGGAGTTGTTATATTCCTACTGGGGTAAGCCACCGACCTGGAGTGCAGGCTGTTCGCCCAGAACTTCGCAACTCATTTCGGTAGCGCAACCGGTTTTCGTGCCAGTGTGTAATTATTGGGGGTACATTAGTACAAACTCATAATACAATCCTGAAAGAGTTCGGGAGCGCGGGCAAGCGAAAATTTCCGTGAATTCACACGCGTCTATATATTTTTGTTGGTGGACACTTTCCCTGCATTGTTGAACCCGTCATGGCTGTGCTCCTTTCCCTCCTCTTGCCTTCAGCTTCACAAGCCGACAGGGGCTATTCGAGACCCCCTTCGACCATCTACTATTTTTTAAGCCAAATCTGACCACGTTTTAATAATCAGCAAATTTTTCTGATCTAGAAAACATTTTTTTAAATTTTTTTCGGAATAACAAAATTCTGACTGCCAGCCCCTTGGCCCCCACAATACCCTGGGCGGTAGCAATAGCAATGAGATCAGGGGCAAAAATTTGATTTTCGTCTTTTCTACACAGTTTTTAGTTAAATTAATAACGCTGAATTCGAATTTAATGTTAAAAATATGGTATGAGCTGAGTATAAAAAAATTAACGTAAAACAACCAGGTACTTACACAATTGATGTGTAAGAACGATTACTGACATCCTTCTCAGCAAAAGGTTGCTCCACACTGCTCATATCAGTTTTTTTACATCAAATTCGAATTCAGCGTTATTACATATTTATTAAGTTACCTAGAAACTGTGTAAAAAAATAAAATTTTTGCTTGATTCCATTGCTACCGCCCACGGTACTGTGGGGGGGCCTAGGGGGCTGGCAGTCAGAATTTTTTTGTTCGGAAAAAAATTTTGAAAAAGATTTTCTGCATCAGAAAATTCGCTGATCATTAAAACGTGGTCAGGTTTGGCTTAAAAAAAATAGTACACGGTCGATGTCGATGTGGGTCTCGAATAGTGGTCGAAAATCCAGTAATACGAGTACAGTTTGTTACTAACGTGCGTCACTGTCCAACAATTGCCCGGTTCAGAGCCGGCTCTGAACTGCATCGCAAAACTGCCGGGCCGGCAGTTTTGCGATGGCCAACGAATTAAAGAGTTATTAAAACGTTTTTATTAGCCACAGTTGAAAAGGTCAGATTGACAGGTACTGACATTTCTTTTTTCCGTAGGCGGAATTTTTTCAAAGAAAAAGATGTAAACTCGTTCATCTTGGCAAATTCTTCATGGATGACTGTTGCCGCCTCCGAAAAGTAGCGAGTGAATCACATCGGGAAGACGGACTGAATGCGGATTGGCATGGTACGGCCCTGCCCATAGAACTCTTAAAGGAAATCTTTCGGTCACTGGACACCATCGAACGACAGCGCTGCCGGCGGATTTGTCAACTATGGGACGCCATTCTCACATCGGCTGAGATGTGCCACGTTGTACATATATCGCTGGAGCATCCACCTTTCTCACCGCGGCTCGTAAAGAAATGGAACGGTAATTATGCCACGTACAGTTGCATCTTTAAGCACATTACTCCCGCAGCGCGAATCATTTGCATTCGAGCTGCTGAATGGGAATGCGACAATCGTGACGATGTGAAAAACGCCGATGAAGCTGTGAAGTTGATTAAGAAGGTCTTGAATGAGGGCGGCATTCGCATCGACTGTTTGATCGTGCACAACCGATCCCTGCTCATCGATCAGGGGGAGCCCGGGCCGTTGAGGTTGAAGGTGGTTTTTGCCACGATAGCTGCGTTTTACTCCAAATTGGCGACCTGTTGTGGCCGGTTGATTTGGAAAAACTATTCCTTGAGATGCGAAAGAAATAACGGTGCGGTTTTATTGAAATTCTATTTTCCGCTTGCGGTTTTCATTCTGGGAAATGTGGAAGGAGCACACTTTTGGGATATATTTGAGCAGCACCTGTGCTGCGGGGGACTGCCGTTAGATATGAATCGCATTGCCCAGTGGATAACCAGTTGTACAGACAAGAATGCAAAAGCCAGGAAAATCCAAAAGGTATTTGCGGGTCCTTATTACGGTACAGGCATATGTCACCGAGAGTGCGTCGTCTAAGGAATTCAGTGAGTTATAATTACAATTCCACACCGGCTTAAGAGACATGACCCGGCACATGGTGCCAAAGTTGTGATTAATGGGGTGTTAATACGAATTATGCACATGACTGCAGTGTTTTCTAATGGTTTTGTTTCATTGTATCTATTTTCCTAACGTGATGATTTTTTTAATAAGCAGGTACTGAAAGATCATCAATCGTGCGATCCACGTCCCTCTGCACACTACCGTGGCAACACCTGGACACAGGACGCTTTAGCCAGTATGGACGTTCGCAGGCTGAACACACTGTGTTTTCATGCCTTGTGGCGCTACGTGCAGAAATGGAGTCGAACACCTTTGGATGCCGCTAGGGAGTATTCCGACGGCAGCTCCGATTCCGAAGACAGTTCCGACTCCGATGGCAGCACCGAATCCAATTCCGACGATAGCCAGGAGTCCGATTCCAGCAGCTCCTCCGACTTGGATCATGATTACCGTTCCGACGCTGAGCCAAATGACAGCACCGACTCCGACTGCCAATGAGGATCAGATTGACTGCCGGTTGATGTGAACCACTAACGCGTAGTACAGTGGACACCATAAATGTGGTTACACTCAATTAGCGCGCAACCGAGCGCTTGTCTGTTCGGGCACAGCCACTTCCGGCTGGCCATCGGCCGCCGGCTAAAAAATAAGAATTCTTGTCGGCCTTCTGCTGTTCGTGTTTCAGCTCCCTTTATTTCGTTTTGTAATCTTTAATTTTTCATTTCTTCCGGTTTTGGATATTGTTTATTCAGAATGCCGTGAAATGGCACCTGGAAAGTATATTGACGCAGATTTGGTGAAAGCGGTTTTCAGATTGTATGCAAAAGAAAAGAGCGTGAGAAAAGTCGCATCAGTGTTTGACAAGTCGCACCAGTGGGTAGCCAAGATTCTGCGCAACTACGACCAACTAACTGGCGAGATCAAGCAAAAGAATTCAAGAGGACGACCGAAGAAAACGACGAAAGAGCAAGATGAAATTGTTGTCCAGTTTCTTAAAGAAAATCGCACCATGAGCGGCGTAAAAGCAGCAGCCCTTATGCAGTTGTCCTACAGCACTCTGCTCCGAAGACTGCACGAAGCTGGCGCGCGACGAAGTAAAGCCGTGGCAGACGAGCTGACGCCGAAGCATAAGATTAAGGACGAGTCTGGACGACAGAGTGTACTGGTGTCTCTGGAAGAGAGAGCAGCTGCTGAGTGATCCCGCGTTTTTCAACTCTGTCATCTTCTCAGATGAATGCACCTTTAAACTGTCAGGAGGCCGAGTTGAGGTACGTATGCACAATACGGAATTCAGAAAAAATCCAAATAATTTAACTTTTTTAAACGCGTCAATTTTTAACGGAAAACAATTGCAAACAAAACAAAATTCTGCAATTTATCAACTTAAAAATTTTTATTTCGCGGAGAAGACAGATTTGCAAATAATCTTCAAGTGAAAAAGTCGCTGCAAAATAAAGGGGGAATCGCTGTCTGGGGCGCTATCTGCGCAGCTGGTCCCGTGTCGTTGGTCCGCTTTCAAGGCACGATGAATTCCCAAAAATATGAAGACGTACTCTTCGACGAGCTCCTGCCTTCCCTGGACGAGAATGGCCGCGACATGATCTATCAGCAGGACAACGCGCCCTGTCACAAATCAAACGTCATGAACAAATTCTTCGGCACTGAAGGAGTGAATGTGATGCCGTGGCCTGCAAGATCTCCTGACTTAAACCCCATCGAAAACCTGTGGGGCAGAATGAAGAACCACATCGCTCAGAGGTTGCCCAAAAATGTGGCAGAAATGGATATCTTTATTAGAGATGCTTGGGATGACATCTGTACAGCCGAATACTGTAAAAGTTTGATTGATTCAATGGGAGATCGAATTAATCAGTGTATCTATAACGGTGGAGCGCGAACAAAGTATTAGCAGTACAGTGATTTCACGATCGGTGACTAAAGATTTACTATTTGAGTCTATGCGGCTAAATTATTGTTGCAGTGGTTGTGTTTCTGTTTGTTTTTTGTTGGTCTTGGCTATTAAATTGTCGGTCAGCGGACCGATTGACCAGTGTAACCACATTTATGGTGTCCATTGTAGGAGGCCTGTTTAATGTTTTCTATTCAAAAAGGTAATGCCTTACCAGATCAGAATCCGTAAATGTGCAGTTAAAACGGGTTCCAGTTAGGGTTGTCATCCCACCAAGGTTTTGGAGGTGGGATGTGATGGGAATGTGAACAGGAAGTGATGTGATTGGTGGGATAGATTATTAATTTATTGAATAATTTCGGACACATTTTTCATAACAAAAAATTCAAAATTTTATGCTAACTGTTTTCAAGAAAGATACCTTTCAAAACGTGGAAAAAACCGACGCAACTAATTAAACTACAACAAGTTGACAACCGTCCAAAGTCAAAAGCTGCAAGCAACGAAGTCTTATGGTTCTCGCAGTTTTGCAGCGGTTCGCAAAAAGTAAGAAGCCGCTGGTGTATTACGTCAAGTATCTTATGAACATCTTCCTCAACGGTCGCTTCAGCATCGCAATTTCCGGCCACTTTGCCAGATAATTCACAAAATCAAATACCGCTAAATCACAAAGACGGTATTAAATTGCTACAAGTTTTTGCAAATACGTGTATTTTAAAATTAAATCAAACCAAACCAGAGGCGAACCAAGTCATTCAAAGTATGCTTTTGCATCTTTTCGCATTTCTCGTTTCTAAACTCTAAATTTCTAACACAGAATTTGTTAAAAATGTTGCTAAAAATGTATGCACTGTCGAAGAGCTATAGTTTAGGTAACGGATTTTGACCTTTCATTTTTAACAATAAAAATTCATCCCATCACATCACCGTCCCATCACTCATCACATTTTTTTATCACGCCCGCAATTGTTTGGCATGATGGGATTGTGAGCAGGAAAACGCCGTGATTGTGAAACTGTGTGACGACGTGATGACAACCCTAGTTCCAGTGATGTACAGTATTTAATGCGTCATTCCAGTATTGTCCGCTTTGCTTTTTCCTGCAGAAAAACTTTCAAAAAGCGGCAGTTGTTGATTTTTTATGAATTAATGTACAAAAACAATTTTTGTATGAATCAACCCGGGCAGTTCTATCTGAGCGGTGTTCCGAATATGCGGTCATATATGTAACCAAAGTGTTCGGTATATTAGAAATGTGCAAGCATATATTCACTTGACCTTCACTAAAACTTCTAAGCTGTACGCTTAAAATTAATCGTCAATCCATCGTAAAGCCTACAACGAGGAGCACACGGGATTTCTGACAGCATGTGTTTTTGCTCATTTTGCGCAGTATTACCAAGAAGTTGAACTACCTGTGGCATTTGGCATCGTTCGACGATGCCGACGATTAACGGAGCCAGCCATGTTCACTGAATAAAATTTCCGTCAGGTTTCCGATGGAGTGTTGATTGCATTACTTTTCCTGGCCACTGCAAATTGAACTACAAATATAGCATTTTTGTTTTCGTGTGTTTTGTTTCTTGACTTTCTTTTTGATGAAAGCATTTTTGCAACCTCAAAAGCGGAATGCTAAATATTTTAAGCAGTACATCTGAACGGTTGAACAACGACAGCGATTTGTCCAGTAGTGTTTCTGTATTGCCCAAATTCCGGTGCAAAGAAGGGGAAATGGTTGTTTGAGATACCGCTTGCAGGGACCAAATGGCAGACTTTCGTCAACCAAAATTATCGTGGAAAGCAAACAGTGAGCCAAACATCGCGACGCGCTCCCCACTCACCACCGCAAATGCACTTCAACAGAAGTACAGATACGTGAGTCTGGCTGAACAGGATCGGTGGCAAGCAAATTTATCTAGAACTCTAGTTCGTTCCGATGAAATCTGTCAACGGATCGCATGCCTGAATCTTAGGTGCTGTGTACAAATTTGCCGGTTACATGTAGCGTAGGTAACCTTGTTTTCATAGGCGAACTTCGCAGTCGCGTTAAACTGATTTCCTACCTTAACTGGTGGTTGCATACTAGGTGTAACTATACAGTATATACTGCACTAGTAACAGTAACAACGTACATTTTAACAAGATTCCGTATAAGGAAGAAAGAGTCATTTTCGCCGCCGATCTGTTTGTAGCTTATTGTAATCATCCTGGGAAATCATGGGCGAGCGGCGTTTGTAAGTGGAAAAATGGTTTAGATTGGATTTGTTTGAAAGTCGACTGAATCGATGGTAATCGTACGAGTACATCTACAAGCAGCGGAATCACATCTTAACGTTAAGTAGACATGCAGCTAAGTTGAGCCAACTACAGAACACTTCGCAGAGCAACTGCGGACAACATAGCATGAAATAATATTATTCTTGTAATACTTGTAGTTAGAATACCGGTACGTGCACTAGCAGTTGCTAAAGTGGAAGGATAGTATACATTGTATATTGTTAACTACTAATAAAATATATTGCAGTTTTTGAGTCAGTGTGATCTCTTGAGTCTTTCCACAACTGCAGAAACAACAACTAAAGTTCGAACTGGAGAATGAAGCGCAGTTTTTCCATTTTTCTGGTTATCAGCGCAATACGTTTTAGTCGAGCTCAAGATGAGTTCATACTAGGCCCTCGAAAATAGTTGCCCAAAAGACCCGGCATTGCCGGTGAAAGCAAATAATTTCGAAGTTTTTGTTGAAGTGCGTTTCGTTTTGCTGCACTGAAAATGAGCGGAAACATCTGCAGGAACACAATCCACGAATAACGGACAGCAAGCCGCCTGAGTAAAGCCACATCCCAAAGTTCTGCGGCTCCGAGATAGTTGGCGACGTTCGTTATCAACCTGCATTCATGATGAAAGATTCCAGTGCGCGCGAATGGATTAAGATAAGCAGCAAACTGAGCGTTTTAAAGACTGTCATTCCCTACGCCATTCATGAAATGGCTGTGTACGGCGACGATCTGGCACGGAGCCGAGTTGAACAAGCACTGGAGACAGCGTGGGAAGAGCCGATTCGTGAGCATGTACAGTACCGACATTCTTGTAAACCTATTTTTTTCCGATATTCACATTTGAGCAACGCCTGTAGCACGTTTACAGATGGTGACAAAAAATACAAACTGCAGTGGCAACGTGCGTCTCAAGAGTGTTTTGTAAACTGTAATTGCTGCATATGCAGAATATTTTTTCCGTTGCATGTACTCGATTCGATAGCCCATGCCAAAATAGAATTCATGTAGGATTTGATCATTAAAGGTCAGTGTAGGAGACATAACATGATCAATGACACTGCGCAGATGGCAACGCATAAAACCCTGAAGACGGAAGAAATGCATTACTATACTACTTTAACATTTTAACTGTTTTACAGGCCGCTAAAGCTTCCTTCATTCACAAGAATCTGAAGTCAAA